GCGCCGCGCTCACTGCTGAGTGGGTGGGGGCAAGGGACGCACTGGCCCTGGCCGGGGTTGGCGGCGTAAGTGCCTGCAGCGCACTCATCACATGAGTGGCTACCTCGATTCGAGTAGGATCCCGAGGGGCAGTCCGTGCACTCACTCAGCCCGGGCTCGCCGCCAAATGTCCCAGCACGGCAGCGCGCGCACGTCTCACTGCTGACTGCGCTGGCGGTCGGGCTAGAGGTTCCGGGGGGGCACTGCTGACAGGCATCTGGTGAGCTGCTGCCCGTCTTCTCGTTGTAGCTCCCCGCAAGGCAGGGCGTGAAGCCGCCGCCACAGTCGTCAGTGACTTCGCAGTACCCACCCGCGGCACACAAATCGCACGACGTCTGGCCGCGCTCCGGCTGGAACTCGCCAGCAGGGCACTGCACGCACGCAGCCTGGCCGGTGAGGTTCTGGTACTGCCCTGCGGCACAGTCGAATGGCCGGACGGTGCCTGCATTCGGGCAGAAGCGTCCCGCGGGGCAGTCGGTGCAGCTGGTGGCGTTGAGCTGATCGGCGAACGTGCCGGGAGGGCACTCGTCGCAGGGACGGTCCGCGCCGGCTGTGGACTGGCTCGTCCCCGGAGAGCAAGGGAGGCACGACTCGGCACTGGCTGCGCCTATCACGGGCATGTAGAAACCAGGCGCACACGGGAGCGGTTCCGCTGTGCCCTTGGGACAAAAGTGGCCTCGCTTACACGCACCATCGCAGGAGGAGTTGGTGAGGCCGCTCCTGTTCCCGTAGTAGCCAGCAGGGCAGAGGTTGCACTCGGGGACGCTGAAGTCGCCCTTAAAGGCGCCCTCGGTCGGCATCCAGCTGCCCAAGCGGCAGTCCCAGTCTATCGGCTTGTCGGTCTGTATCGTCTTGTCGTCGCCAGCGGTGTTGCCGGTGAAGGAGGCGTCGCTGATCGAGGAGCGTTGGCGGAGTTCGCGCAGGTACAGTACCGAGCCTGACCCGCCCGGCGCTCTGTTGTCGATGAAGTCGACACCCGCGATGGAGAGGGAGATGCTGTCCCCCGCGTAGACGACGCCGCCGTTCTGTGGTTGCGAGGAGGGAGCGGGGTAAGGCAGCCGTGGCCGTCTCCATCTCTCGCCCCGCTGCCGTGCGGCGCTGCTGGAGGCCGGCTAGCTCTACGCGGCGCACAGAGCCAGCAGAGCAGCTCGTCACGTTCGAGCCGGTTATCGAGACTGCACCGCTGTCCCACGCGTAGACGACGCCGCCCTCCTGCGGTTGCGAGGAGAGAGCGGGGTGAGGCAGCCGTGGCCGTCTCCATCTCTCGCCCCGCTGCCGTGCGGCGCTGCTGGAGGCCGGCTAGCTCTACGCGGCGCACAGAGCCAGCAGAGCAGCTCGTCACGTTCGAGCCGGTTATCGAGACCGCACCGCTGAAATACGCGTAGACGACGCCGCCCTCCTGCGGTTGCGAGGAGAGAGCGGGGTAAGGCAGCCGTGGCCGTCTCCATCTCTCGCCCCGCTGCCGTGCGGCGCTGCAGGGGCGCGGCTAGCTCTACGCGGCGCACCCTGCCAGCCGAGCAGCCCGATACGGTCGAGCCGCTTATCGAGACCGCACCGCTGTTCTGAAGCGCGTAGACGACGCCGCCGCGCTGCGGTTGCGAGGAGAGAGCGGGGTGAGGCAGCCGTGGCCCTCTCTCTCTCTGGCCCCGCTGCCGTGCGGCGCTGCAGGGCGGGCGGCTAGCTCTACGCGGCGCACATAGCCAGCAGAGCAGTCCGACACATCTGAGTCGATGATCGAGACCGCACCGCTGTCCCTCGCGTAGACGACGCCGCCGGACTGCGTTTGCGAGGAGAGAGCGGGGTGAGGCAGCCGTGGACCCTCTCGATCTCTCGCCCCGCTGCCGTGCGGCGCTGCAGGGCGCGGCTAGCTCTACGCGGCACACCCCGTCGGGATAAGAGCCAGGAGCAGAGCAATCTCTGACCGTCGAGTCGATGATCTCAACGTCGCCTGCGCCGTCCGCGTACACAACGCCGCCTTTGCCTGCACTCCTCCCGTTGACGAGGGTCAGCCCCCGCAGGGTGAGACTGCAGCCGCCCGTGAGGTAAAAGAGCCCGGTCTGTTCCTGGCCGTCGAGCGTCGCGCCCTCGCCGCTGCTCGCGACGGTCACCTTGATGTCGGAGCCGCAGCTGATCTGGCTGCCCAGCTTGAAGTCCGCACTGGGCGGCAGGTAGATTGAGACGTTGGCTTGCGAAGCAGCAGCCTCCGTGATCAGGGAGCGGAGCTTAGCCTCGCTCGCCGCGGCGACAAAGTCCGGGGAGAGCGGCGGCAGAGGCGGCAGCGACGGCGGCGGCGGAGAGGACGGCGGCGGAGGGGGCAGCGACGGCGGCGACGGAGAGGACGGAGGGAGGTGGGCGAGGATGAACGTTTTGCTGCCGTAGGATCCGGAGTCGAGCGTGAACGTATAGCCCGCACCCTCCCACTCGTCGCCGTTCCAGCCGTCGCCGTACGAGTCGTACATGTCGAGCGTGCACTCGCCGGGCGGCGCGGACAGGGTGCCAGAGTAGGCGGCCCCTCCACTGCCGATCAACGCGCCGCTGCACGTCAGGTTCCACGACACCTCGGACGGATAGCTGCCGCCACCCACGGTGACGAGGAACTCGACTGAAGCTGCTGGTGGCGACGGCGGTGGCGACGGCGGAGGCGACGGCGGAGGCTTCGGTGGAGGCGACGGCGGCGGCAGCGGCGGCGGCGGCGGCGGCGGCGGTTTGGGCGGAGGGGGCTCACCTGATGGATCCGTGGCAGACGCGGCCGCCCTGCCGACGAGCAGCGCGGCGGCGGCCACGCGGACATGGGCGGCGGATGGCTCGAGCGAGGCGATTCCGCCGAGATGCAAGGCTACCGCGCCGACGAGGCCCGTCTCGACCAGCCTCCGGGCCTTCCCAGCAGCGTCGGCGGGACACGACTCGGGTACGATGCTGTTGACGGACAGGAGACCCGGCATGGCGCCGCGCCACCGAGTGTACCTCGCATTCGAGGCCTCGTTGGTCACGCCGCACAGGCCGACCATTGCGACAAAGAAGAAGAAGAAGACGATCAGAGTGCGGCAAGCGCCAGCGGTGCCAGTCAGTGCCAAGGACTCGTTCTCCTTGGCGCGCCTCGAGCGCTTCTGGCCGTCCATCTTGTAGCCTCTCCACTTCAGCGCCACGACAGAGACGCCCAAGCACCCCACGAGGGCACCCGTGAGGAGGGGCCAAAGAGAGCTGCCGGCCGTGTCCGTCTCGGCGGTGAAGATTTCGGCCTGTGGAAAGGCAGGCGCGGGCGACAGCCTGTCAGGCACGCTGCAAAGAGGCGCGAGGAGTGATAGAAGCGAGTGGCTTGGCAGGGCACGCAGGGGAGGCCGTGCGGCAGGCAGGGGCAGGGGGGAGACGGGCTGGCGATGCGGTGCTCGGATCGCCTGGTCCGCCCCCTCCTCCTCGCCCTGCTCGACCTCGAGCGTGGAGGAGTCGGCCCAGACGAAGGAGGCGCAGCGTGGCCGCGAGCCGGCGAGGTCACTTGAAATGGAGAAGAGATCGGTCGACTCAACCGTCTTCGAGTCGGCGATCTGAGTGGCGCAGACCTCCGCGGGCCGCGCTAGCTCCTCCAGCGACGCCTCGCTGCGCTGATCCTCCGCCACCTCGGTCTTTGGCGGAACCGGCAGATGCATGGGCACCGCCTCAGTCTCGGACAACCGGGCCGCGATGGGCAGCGACGCCTGGGCCTTGCCAGAGGCGGCCCAGCAGCCTGGTGGCTCCTCGGACTCGAGCGAAAATCGCCGTTCCGCCGTGGCGGGGTGGCGGGTGCGCACCTGGAGGGGCCAAAGGAGCGAGTGTTGATGCAGGGCAGACAGGGCAGGCAGACAGGGCAGCGGCGCGGGTGGGCAGAGCCAGAGGGGTGACGGTTTAGCAGCCGATGCAGCGGCGTGGGGAGTGCAGTGCGGGTCGCCAAGCGCCTGCTCCGCCCGCTCCAGCTCTCCCTGCCCGACCTCGAGCAGCGAGGAGTTGGCGCAGGCAAAGAAGGCGCAGGCGCGCTGCCAGTCGGCGCACCCGCTTGGGACGGAGAAGCGATCGGACTCGACCGCGTTCCAGTCGGAGATCCTGGTGGAGCGGAGCGCTGCAGGACACGCAAACTCCCCCAGCGCGGCCGTCAGGCGCGCATCGACGGCCCGCTCGCTCTGGAGGAAGAGGAGGTGCTGGGGCGCTGCCGCTCGCCCGCCGTCCGTCGGCTTGGTCGTTGGCGGGCCGATCGGGGCGCGGAGGCCGATGGACGCCTCAAGAATCGTGAGAGGGGCGGACGCCGCATCCGGCGGCGCCCCGTTCTTGACAGAATCCTTGGTTTGGACTCGAGAAGCGTTCGCGACTCCGTCGTTCGCTCGCGACCCGCCGCCGGCTTGCATGCAAGGCCCGGGAGGACGAGGGCCGCCGACGCGGACTGTTGGGCTTGAGACGCTCTGGCGCGCGGTCGCCGCGGCGAGGATGCTCGCGAAGGTGCAGAACATGAATCGCGGCTGCAAACTCGGCGGGTGCCGCAGTGTGTGGGTCGACTGCTCGCCGTGAAGACACAGGTTTTGCAGTGTTTCTTTAAATGAAATCGGGTGTGTGTGTGTGTGTGTGTGTGCGGTGCGCGCACACACACACAAACTTTATATGTCGCGGGGTTGACCGACAGCTGCCGAGGGCCACAAATTCTTCCCGAGCCAGAGCAGTTCGGCGCCAGCAGCCCAGACACGCCGCTCGGAAAGATAAGTAGGCGGGGCGAGCCGATCGCAGATCGGCAGGCCCGGACAAGGAGGAATAATGGTTTTGGGGACGCACGATCGGCCCGCCGGAATTCACTCGACAGATCCAGCTGTGAATAGAATGTCAACATGAGGTAGAGACCAGGGCAGGCTCGACCGAGCGATCGTCCGGCTCCTCCCCTCAGCAGAGCGGGCGAGAATCCTAAAGGATTCACGCGTCAACAAATTCTTCCGGAGCGCGAGGAGTTCGGCGCCAGCAGCCCAGACACGCCGCTCGCCCTCAGCGTTCGGTCCTGCCTGGAGAGCGCCGCGCGGTCTGCGTCATGGCGACTCCTGAGTCGGCGGCTCCTGCAGCAACCGACATGGACACCACCGACATCTTTGGCGACGGTGCGCACGCGTCGTCTCACCCATGCGCTCTCACGCGCCGTGCCCGCGCCGTGCGCACGGCAAAGGCCCCGGGCATTGCCGTCGAACGAGTTCGCGCGGGGCGGCGGAGCGGCCTCGCCGCCAGCCGCGCGAGCCGACGCGGCCCCGACTGCGCCTCGCCCAGGTGACGACGGCGAGGACCTTGGCGAGGAGATTGCGCGGGCAGAGCCCGACGAGATTGCGCAGCGGACGCGGATGCTTGAGAACGAGATCAAGGTGCTGCGGAACGAGAACTCGCGGCTGCTGCACGAGCAGCAGACGCAGAAGGAGAAGATCAAGGAGAACGCCGAGAAGATCAAGCTCAACAAGCAGCTGCCGTACCTCGTCGCAAACGTCGTCGAGCTGCTAGACATGGATCCGGAGGTGGTATCTCCCCATATCTCCCCATATCTCCCCATATCTCCCGTGCTAGACATGGATCCGGAGGGGGCCTCCCCCCCCCCCCCCCCCCCTCCCCCCTCCCCTCCCGCTACTCCGCTCGCGCCCTCCCTCTCATCTTCAGAGACACTTCCCCGCCCCCATATCTCCCCCACATCTCCCCACATCTACCCACATCTACCCACATCTACCCACATCTCCCCACACCTCCCCACAGCTCCCCACATCTCCCCACATCTCCCCACATCTCCCCACACCTCCCCACAGCTCCCCACATCTCCCCACATCTACCCACATCTCCCCACGTCTCCCCACCTCTCCCCACCTCTCCCCACCTCTCCCCACATCTCCCCGCATCTCCCCACACCTCCCCACAGCTCCCCACATCTCCCCACATCTCACCACATCTCCCCACCTCTCCCCTGCAGGACGAGCCCGAGGAGGACGGCGCGAACATCGACCTTGACGCACACCGCAAGGGCAAGTGCTGCGTGCTCAAGACGTCGACGAGGCGAGACACTTCCGAGACACTTCCGAGACACTTCCGAGACGCTCCGA